ATTGACACAGTCTTTAAACTTTCCGATCGCACCTCGTACTTCAGTAAATGTTCATTGCTTTATCAAGTATTTGAAAGTTCAACGTGTGAATGAATGCGTTCTCGTGAAGAAGACAACGTTCAAGCAGTGCGTCAAATGAAGTGCCCAAAGCTACATAATTATAGTTAACTGTCTGAACGTCAGAGTAAGGCAGGAAATTAAATCACAGTTTCCGGTATGATGTCGTCAGGAAATCGAATCCTTCCTATTTTGTAACAAGCTTTGCCTAGAATACCAAGACGTAACGGAAATAATGATGATTTATAAGATAGAGACTGTGAGAGTAATGGAACAAGCAGGCCATATGAGGGTGGAGACGAATGAAGAAAATATCTTCTTTTCAAAGCTGCCTCCAAGTCATACTCCCTCCAGCTTGTCATCAGTATAGATTAAGGTCGACCCGACATCAAACGGTCACAGTAATATGGCATGGGGCCACAAGTATGCATCCATCACTCCAGGCCTGCACAGAACACAAGTGGAACACGTTCATATTTACGCCCAGCCACAAGCGTGTATCCACGACGTGCAACATAGACGACAGATGGAAAAATCCAAACTGGCACTCATAAATTTCCAATGAATGCACGAAATGTAATGCAGACATGCTAGTATACTGATTAACTGAGTAACTCGAAACCTAGTATATTTCATGACATTTATAACGGCGCTGAAATATTAAATTCAGAAATGCACAGGCATACCAGAATTACAACAAAAATTCTTGAAAACATCCACGAATACTTTCCTTTGTCTATAAAAAGTACGTAAAAATTATAAATAGGACATTATAAAAGCCAGTGATGGTTTCTACCGGAATATCCTTTTCCTGAAAATTAGATTTAATACATCGTCACCGTATCTGTAATTATTAACATTCAAGAAATGTCACGTTATTGTGTCAATCAAACCCAAGAAATTCACGCAGAGGCCATTTTGTTATTACTAAACACAGAAAACAAAAAGAAAGTACAACGCAGAGTGGCCTCTAATGAACATGATGCCACCATAACATCGTTATCTCCCGACTTCGGCGAATTTCGCTTTAAAACGTTTTTATTATTTTTTTAACTAACTCATATTTGTTCAAAACTAATAAAATAACACTGTAAACGGCTAAAATGAATGGTATTATAGTCAAATGAAAAGCGTTATTCAATAAAACTAAAGAAAATGAAACCAGAGAAGTAATAAATATTTCTAGTAACACGACCAATCTTAAGAAGGCAGCTACAGCTAAATCGGAAGATACCTGTAGGGGCCCAAAGTAATGACTTTACTGTCTAGGTAATAACTGTTGAATAATCTTAATATTGTAAATTAAGCCCTAAAAATATATAGGCCTATGTTACGCACACACAAATAAATACTCCAGCACAAAGTTCATGATATCGTAAGCTTGTTTCCTCATGAGCCATTAGTTAGTACAAAGATGACTGTCTTCTGGGTTGCAGCGCCGTGTAGTCTCACAGAAGTTTACCACCGCTTCAGAGGTCCTTACTGCCTCCATTATCAGGGCGATGTAGCAAGGACATCTGAGACTGTGGTAAACTTCCACCAGACTACACGGAGCTACAACCTAGAAGACAGTCATTTTCGTACACACCGTCGTGTAAACCTCAAATCGTACTATCAGTTAATATTAACATGGAGAAAATATAGTAAGCACGGCTACAATCCGTCTACAACATGTTACAGTACATATCTCAACAAACGGGGTTTGATTCCCGGTAGGGACCATAATTTTGTTCTTCTCTTCACGAAGCTGCTGCCGCGTCGACATATGCTGTATTTATTATTCTGATGATCCTCATTGAAGTTACTCGCCCCACTGAAGCGGGCAATAAGTAGTAGTCATAGTAACGTAACTGGCAAATGCTATTTATTTATTGGTTTACTTAACGACTGTTAACTGGCATTTCCTTGAGGAACGGAGAAATGGAACAATGGAACGGCATTCGAGCAGCAGGTCGGCTGGCAAATGCTTCCAAGAGCAAGGAAAGATAAATGGAAGTAGTAAGTTTATCAGATATTGAAAAAAGAGAGAGAAAAACTGCACCCCTGAAAGTGCGATACAAGATCTGGAATTGACATATAACCCATCTGCTTCCAAAACCTCTCTCCACATCTCAATAACATAAAGCCGAAAGCACAGAAATGGCATACGTCCAACGAGGGAAAGCTTACCAGTAACAAAAGCTAGATTACGCGCCTCGTACAAAGTCAAAGATGACCGATCGAAATTACGTATGTATGCATGCATGTATTTACGGGATGTCTCATTTCAAACGCAACCTTAACTACCACACACGAATCTCGCCACGCACAAAAAGACGATGCAAACAGTAATATTGAATTTTTGCAGTCGATGCACTACTTAAAATCAGCACGTGTTCCAAAATTTTGTTACCAGTCGACATATTGACTACCGCAGTATTTCCATGTCAGGACACGCACTGCTGAATGCGTCACGAACGGCAGCAAACGATTCATATGCAAAGTAATATTCGAGAATAGACACATCCTTCACGTGAATACGCCATGTTCGTACCTGCACAGCTTTTGCAGAACTCGCATCAGCAGCGGCCTAGCAACAAGGTTGACCTTGATTCGAGTGTCTCGGGGGATGCCGGGACAGTCTACTACACAGGAACGGAACTGCCTACGAGTTAATTTATGAACCGTGCTACGATATTGTTGCTGACTTTCGTTTTACACGGCACAGTGTGTATGCTGTGTGTACATAAGGCTCATTCTAAACAGCAGTACTAAGCGACTTGTCTCATCCAACTCGACAATCAATCGATCGATCAATCAATGAGTACATCGGAACACAATACACGTGACTGAGTTGCACACATGCGTTGGGTACTAGAACACGGCTGATGGCTGTATCCAATTGGATTTTTTCTATTCCACATGGACACTACTGTCAGCTGCATGTGGTATAAAAACAATTTAATACGAAA